AGCAACTATCATTCGAAGCTCAAATCGTACGATCGTTATATCCTAAGTGAGCATTTAATATAATGTAATAATATAATGATTTATAACATTATTTAATAATATACTCAGTCAATGGAGATTTTTGAGTCTGAATTTTTTACTGTGCTTCCATTTGCTTGAAATTTTGGAATTAAGTTCATTTTACCCTCAAGTTCAAAAGTGAAAACAACTTGAAATCCGCCATCACCGCCGGGGAATGACACCCCTTCTCAGTGGTGTAAATTTATTTTTAGGTGTTTTTCAACTCAAAGGTTGTGCGCAAGGGTGTAGAGTTTTCAAGGGATTGATTATGATTTTATTGTGAAGTAAATGTATTAGAAAATACTTTACAATTTTACCCTCTAATAAAAAATAGGTATTCTAGCTATAAAATGACTCAATGTCAATTTAAACATGAAGGGACCTTGGCGGGCTTCTCCCCCAGAGGGTGGTGGCGGAATACAAATTGTTTTTACTTTTAAACTCAAGAGTAAGATCAGCTTATTTCCAAAATTTCATGCAAATTGGAGCACAGTAAAAAAATTCAAAAGTTACACCCTTTTTTCTTTCCATTAACTGTACTAATAATTAACCCTTTCCACTCGGATGCCGCCGATGTCAAAATGCATATAAATCCCGCAATTCGCGAGTGAGAAAGATTAAAATCGTTTTCAGTTGTCTATAAAATAAATAAAATTCTCGCTGGACTTTCCAATAAAACGATCGTATACTTCGACTTCTTAGCAAGCTATGTAAAGATAAAAATATTTTCATGTGACCATTTTATTGTTTCTTATGTTAAATCTTTAATCATTATACAATTTGTTTGTATTATTTAATTTATTAAAACTTATTATTTCTCATTAACAATAAGTTGAAATTGCATATATGATGAGCCGTTATTATTGCGAACGAGTGCAGTCTATACGTAAAATGGAGAATTGAACTCCATAGATTCAGTTTTATTATATAATTTATTATTCTATGAATTCTAGATTTTACTGAAGTTTCAATAAAACATCTTTCGTTAAATCAATAGTATCTAATTATCTCGGAATGAGTACCAGTTAAGTAAAATTATAATTGTTAACGTCTTTTCTTTAATATTGTAGTGAAAAATATGTAGGGAAAAATAATGAACTAACACTAAAAATGTTATTATGCGTTATAAATTTACAATTTCAAATAATGATTTTAAAATCATATTTTAAATTAGGGAATGCAATGCCGGGTTACCGAAAAACCGGTATTTATTGCCTAATTTGTTGGTGGTATTAAAACCGGTATTCACTTCTGAAATGCCGCTATTTTGGGTAACCACTAGTTGATAGTAAAATATCGAAGGGATGAATTTTGGCGTTTTAAAAAAATCAATAAAGCAAAATAAGTAATAAAAATAATATTGCAATATATATATATATATATATATATATATATATATATATATGAATATATGTAAATAAATATAAATAGCATGCAATGCATGGTTTCAGAGATTATACTTGACGCGTTAAGTTATTATTAAACTTGTAATTAACTGAATACAAATATAACTATTATATTTGATTATGAGTTTTAATATTCTCTATGATAATTCATATAAAATGGTTTATATAACTTAAGGTCATATATCGTAGCTGCAAAACAAATGCAAAATACATGCATTTTTATTTTAATTTTCTTTCACGGCGTTGTGAACGTGAAAATGACACTATGCCGGAAAGACCTTCATGTGAATCATTTTTTTATAAAAAGGTTTTCATACCATATTTATTAGACTATAACGGAATAAATTATATATTATACACGTTATTGTATAAGTATCTTTTTCTAAACTCATATTGAATTAAACTATTAAAAAACACTGTCAAGGCCAAAGAATTGGCGTCCAACTTTTTATAAGTTAAATTTTTATGATTCTAAAATATTTGCACTAAACAGCATTTATTTCTGATGTTTTACTTCTTGTACCTTTGCATTCAAGTATATAATAAAATGAATCAATCATACGAACGATGATTTTGAAATTAAATGCAGAAATGTATATAAATAAAGGGGTTATTATAGAATTTTGAAAATTAAGTTAGGTAAAAAGAAAACATACAATACTTAAAAAAAAATGGTCTTGTTGATTTTAGATTAAGTTGGCTTTCAAACGCAATAATTTCGAAATTATGCTTTCTATATAGCATTATATATTATAAAGGGTGTCCCAGACCTTAACGTCAAGTTGAAACAGGGTGAAAGTATTGACCTTGACTGTCCTGAAAAATACTAGAAAAAAATATATCACATTATTTAAAAATATGATCTTCTAAATGCAACCCAGAGCTTTGGTAAAAATAAAACCATTTTTCGATTATTGTGGTTAATTTTTATTGATTGGACAAACCATTTTAATTTTGGAACAGTAACCCTAATAACATTTCTAGGACCACGATGATAAAATACTATTGCCCCAAGTTTTCAAGAACTTTTTGTTGCACTATGAATATAATTTTTTTAAATCGATCGATTTTAAAAATCTTCCCTCGAAAAAACTTGTTGAAATGTTCCATCAAAAGTTGGCGCATTTAAACATAATTGTAAAATGATAGAATACTATTATTCATTATTAAAATTTTGGAGTAAAAAAATAAAAACCTAAATATGGCCATAATTTCACCAAAGCCTTACGTTGCACTTAAAAGCTCATAATTTTCAAACTATGTGAGAAATTTTTTCTTATTTTTTTTTCAGGACAGTTGAGGACAATGCTATCATCCTGTCTAGGATTGACGTCAAAGTTCTGGGACACCTTGAAGAGGGGAGTCCCGTAACGCCGGACGGCACCTAGCGCCGGACACTCTATTTAACACGTATTATTTAAGTGAATGTAAATCTTTTCATTTCAAAATACAAATGAAAGGGTCGCACACGGTCACGGCAGGTGCAACCGTTTGCTGTTTTAGGCGCAAAACCAAGGTCCAATAAAAGTAATTCTAGTATATTTATGCATTTACATTCGAGTGGTATGCAAAAACAAAAGTAGTTCTTGATTGTTAACCATAAAATTGTAGAATACCATTAGATCTCTTAAACAATTTTAGTAAATACCACCAAAGGAACGAAAATGTCTGTCTCTTAGCACCGGATACTAAGTCGTCCCTTAGCGTCGAACAGTAATAGTACTTATATTTCTTGTGAGAATTTACGTAATTTATTCTAATTATTTTGTTTTGTATGAGTGCTAAAAGTTACTACATACGCCCATTATTAGTATTTCGTAGTCAAAGAATGAAAAGCTTATAATGTATGCACTAGCTGAGATTATCGGAGTGGCCCAGCCAAAAGGGTGGATGAATAGTGACTTTTTTTTACAATATCTAAGAACATTTGTCAAACACACATGTGCAGACATTCCAAAATGTGGAGATGGCTACATATGTGACCAATGTTATTTCGAAATGTCCGGTACTAGGTGCCACTTTCATATTTTTTGTTACCAAAGTTTGATTGATGGTATTAATTATTTTTTAGATAAGGTTGAGTTTTAGTTAATTTGATTTGATTTCTAACTTTGTTATCTAACATAAGTCATAATTTAATAAACATCTATTTTTATTTATTCACAAATAACCTTAGGTGTCCGCCACTCGGGGACTTCCCCCTATATATATATATATAGATACACGTCAATGAAAAAATTAACCCAAAAATTGTGTTTCATATATCGTGTGTTATTTTCACATCTAAGAAAACTTAATTTAATCACTTTACTTTATGCGATTTGTGGATACATATTAACTGCACAATTTTCACAATGTTATTCAAATATGATTCAATATGTCTAGTATTAACAATATTATTTTATCAGTTTTAGTAATGTTTTTTAACTAACTATATTTTATCTATGATTATATTTTGACCACACAGAGATCGCGAGCCAAATTCTAAGGGCAACACGGTTTACATTGAATTACGCATTAATTTATGTTAATAATTTACCGTTTCATTATCTCTAATTATTTGAAAAACAAAGAAACAATTTTCGGATTTTGTTAATAATGTACAAACTAATGGATTGTCTATACCTCTTTTAGAGTATCTAAGTCAGCCTGTCATTCCACACGATCAATAATTATAAACAAAATAGAAAGATACATTTGTAGTATCGAATTTATATTATTTAATTATTTTGCATATTATTCAATAGTAAATTGGTATTTTCAAATTTTTGTTTAAGTAGATATTTTTTAAATAATACTAATCGTAATTATTGATCGTTTTGTGGTGGACATATTATTATTGTTAATTACCTAATTGTATATACATTTTTATATGTACAATATCACTACAATTATCAATATTAAATAATATTTTGAGTGTTTAAAACTAATATCTTAATTATAAAGCAACAAATTTAACAAATATAGACTTATATTTCTGGATCTCATATAGCATAAAATTTGCTACAACATTTCTTTTAGCGCGCGCAATTTAAATATTTTTGAGTTGATTGAATATTGTCATTTTGTTGACAATGAGTACGTCTTATCAGAATATCTTTTTATACTAGAACTAATGTATTTTCACTAATACTTAGTTTTAAATCCATTTTGCCATTTTGAATTGCGTTGCATAATGATACATCAAAAAGTGTGATTCAAAAGGAATTAAATAATAAATATTTGTTTGCATATTTGATGCGAGTTATTGAATTTAATTTGTAAGATATTAATAGTTCTATATAGTAACATTAATTGACTCGAACAATTTTAATTACACACTTTACCATTTATAGTATCAATTAAGATATATTAAAGTCGAAGGGATATCATGAATCATACAATTTCTAGAAATGTTCAATCCAGTCGTATAAGTCTGTAAATGTAATATTTACTAGATAATTGTCTTTATAAACATAATAACAAACTGTTGCTTCATTCCATATAAAATATGTACAAATATAACTACACATTCCGAATAATGAAATTTAGAATAATTTTTATGCTATCAAATAGCATAGTTCAAAATTAATTATTGAAGTTTCTTTATTGACTGCTGCCCTCAAATGTGCTCATCTAGTGCATCTGTGAAGAAAAGAAACTCAATATCAGCTCCCAAATTTATATTAAATTTTTAAAAAAGAAATTAAAAATGGAAATAGAAAAACATGCCAAAAATCTCGTTACAACGCCATATTGTTCACTTTAACGTGTCAATGTTGGTATTGTTGTATTCATATATTTTCATTTTAACATCAAAAGATTATTTCAATCTCTTTAAAATTACTATTGCAATTTATTAATAATTTGGGAGAAGATATGGTTTTCTTGATTTGTATTTAAACTAATTACTAAATAGTTTTAATGTTATAACGAGATTTCATTGCATATTGTAAATGTATCGCACATGTAAATCAAAACTACGATCAAATTAATGATAATTTTATAAAAAATATATGATTAAACTTTATAATAATAAAATTTTGTGAAAATATTAATTGATATTACTTTGATCGGAAAAAATTAAGCCTCTAGAAATTCTGTAAATATAATGCATAGTTTTGATTATAGAATGCGATTTATGTGGTCACTACAACTAGTTATATGCTTGTATATATATATATATGTGTGTATATATATATATATATATATATATATATATACACATATATATAAATATATATTAATTTAGAAATATGAACAAACACAGTCTTTTTTGCACTATTTATTAAATAATGATTTTACAAACGTTTCGAGACTAGGTTTGTCTCATCATCAGTGTGTTATACCTTAAAATCTAAAATATGGAAATCTAAGTTAGCATTATGTCTTCGGAGTCTGAATTCTCTATCCAAGGTCAACTAGGTGAGTTATAAAATATCAAAAAGGAAAGAGAAGAAATAGGGCCTAGTTGAAAAATGGATGCCGCTAGGAGAAAATTATTTTTTGAAAGGAAACGGTTCGTTTATAAAAAATAGATAACACATAATGATAATTTAGATTTCCATATTTTAGATTTTAAATTATAACACACTGATGATGAGACAAACCTAGTCTCAAAACGTTTGTAAAATTATTATTTAATAAATAGTGCAAAAAGAGTGTTATTTGTTCATATTTCTAAATTAATATCCATCCACTAATAATACATTTGTTATATAAATATTTATATATATATATATATATATATATATATATACAGGTAATTTTTTTATATAATCGAAAATTTCCGTATATTTTAAAAAATATTTAATAAGTTCCTAGCGTTTCAAAAATTTTCAAGGTTACTTTGAACCAAATTTAACTTAAAAAACTTAATTTGATTTTATAAACAGTTTCACTAAATTATAAATATTATATAGCGTAGGGCGGAGCACGAAGGTCCAATTTAGCTTTGAGCAATTATATTGTGAAAACTAAACCAATTATATCACTAAACAACTATCTGGTTCTGTTCAGTAAAATTCCTACAAAATAATTCATATTTGAGAAATGTGTTGTTTTGCTGTTTTTTTTTAATTTGTCATTTGGTCCTATTTACCCCATAGGTGGGGTAAAATGGAACAGCCAGGTGGCAAACAGGTTTACTTTTTTATTTTTATTTTTAAAGAGATTTTACGAAATAATATCAACTTCATTCAATCAATGCAAAATATCAATATCATGGGTACATCTTTTACAGTTAACACAGTATATAACCTTGATCTAGTATTTCATCAGAAATATTTTTCAGAAAAGTCGGAATACTATATACTTAAGGTATTTCTTGTAAAATTGCTCTTTTAACTTAATTCATTTTTTTATTTACTATCTTGTATTGTTTACACCTTTCCCAGGGTGGTGCTTTTTACCTCACCATATATAGGTGGTGCTTTTTACCCCACCCACAGATAAGTTTTTACAGAGGTTATATGAAAAAAAAACTATTGATCGTAACTTAAAAGTAACAATACCTAAATAATATATTGAGGTCTCGTAAACTAAACTGCAGTGCTCCACATCTAAAAAACTAACAACAAAAGAAAATATTTGTTATGCATTTTCAAATATTGCCGTTTACTCCAGATAGCGACATCATAAAAAGGCTTCATCAAGAAGATGGCTGGTTTTACACATTCTTCTCTCTACTTTCAAATATTGTTGTTAATTAAAATAAATCTTAACTTCACTTATTTTTGAGATATCGGTAATGGAGCTTTTTAGCCTCCGACCTTTATGCCCTGCTCTACCTTACTATTTTATCCAGTAATATTAAATATAAACATGACAAATGATAAATGAAAATTTTATAACTAGGTACATTATATTCATGGAGAATGAAATAAAATTATTCACATAATTCACTCAAAAATGCGAATTTATAAATTATATCTATCCTAAAATGCTTTAAATAAAATAATTTTTCTACCTTACGGTGAAAAACCTAGAATTACAAGAATACATTAAATAAGTAATAGAAATTATTAATGTTATTCATAAATGTCAACAAAAAAGAGTCATTACGTTTTAATCAAACGAAATTTGTTAGCTTTTCCAATGGTAATTTCATAACATGTATTTATAATACCAATAATAATATATTGGAATATTAATTAAGAAAATAAATAGGTTGTGGTATGTTCTGCTAGTAAATATCACCTCACATATAAAAATGTTGTATGATAGATTTATGAGCATGCTGCAATATTATGGGTGCGATCGTGGTAATTGACGAAGTGTTTATGTATGATATAATATATAAATATATATATATATATATATATATATATATATATATACATGTATATGCGTATAATTAGGAGAGCTAGAAGCTTAATTGAAACAACAGGGATACAGTCGGTCAAGTAAGAGCGTGGTCGGGTTAATTTATAAAAATAATTATTTTATGAAACTTTAATATTTATATATGCATTGTATACGTTAAAAGCAAGGATGCAATTTTAGTCAATATGTGTCCAGTCACCACCGGAGTCGACAATTGCCTGGCATCTCCGACGCCTGCTTTTTACTAATTCAACGGATTATTCTAGTCTGACGGCTCGGATTTTAATTTAACGGCTCGATGAGGGCAGTACGTGCTCATATAAAACTTTCGTCAGTAAAAATGACATTTTCAAAATCTCTATCAATATTTTCATGTGCTCAAGCGGAAAAGAAGCACATGTTTTTCAGTCGTCAGAGGCTTCCCCGTTGTGTTGCGCCATTTCAGATCATGAATACAAAGAAAGGTTCAGATAGTTTTGTAGATATTTTTGTAGATACATATTTCTAAACATTTTGCCATGAATTTTGCTCGTCCTTGCTGCAGTGTTAAAGCAGGATTCCGCAAATACCCATTCTGTTCTTTTTTCTTCTTTTTTATTTGAATCACGTTCTGATAAATCATCGACTTTTTTAGCAACTTTATATAGGTGTATCGAATTCTGTACAAATGTCTTCAACTTTCTCATATATTTAGCAGCAGCTGATTGCTACATTTGGGTACCTTTTAGGTGCATTCAAAAGGGCGCAGCCTCGTAGCGCGACACGTAACTTAGCACTCATGGCGTTTAACGTAATTTTTTCTCAAAAGATCAACTGCAACTAAACCTTTTTTGACAATGCATCAACGACAAAGCTTCACTTTATTGGCTCACGAAAGAATTAGACCGAAATCTCTCATTAACTGTCGTTAAAGTCGACCACGCTCTTACTTGACCGACTGTAAGTAGTAACGTGCGATTTTCAATAGGATTTTAAAGAATATTAAAATATTTTTTTGCCTTGTTTGGACATGTAAGTCCCCTCCCCAGCGCATCATATTATTATAGCAGTTTCGCAAACCCATGCAGTAAACAGAAGTATGCAGGTCTGTTATTTATATCAAATGTCACATAAAAAGTCATTGACATGTAATATAAAATTGTACAATTGTATAATTTAGATGCGAGTTGTTATTATCAACTAATTTTAAATTTTATATATCTAATATTTGATTAAACTTATCAACTTTTGATAATATTTAAAAATATTTGTGACTACTAATTTGTTGAAATAGTTATTTTGATTAATTTAAAAAAAAAACACCTGAAGTTAGTGCAGTTTACGTTGATTTATGACAAGAATTTCTCTTGCTTATTTTGTTGGTGCTTAGGGGAAAGTCCCTTAACGCCGGACGGCACCTAGCGCCGGACGCTCTATTTAACTCGTATTAGTCAAGCGAGTATGAATCTTTTCATTTCAAAATACAAGTGAAAGGGGCACGGTGGGCACACACGTCCAGGATCACGCGCCAAGCCCCGCCTGTGACGCACACGGTCACGGCGGGAGCCACCGTTTGCTGTTTTAGGCGCAAAATCACGGCGTCACTTAAATATTATTGAAAGTAATTCTAGTATATTTATGCATTTATATTTGGGTGGCATTCAAAGATAAAAGTAGCACTTAATTGTTATCCGTAAAGTGGTAGAAATTTTTTAGATATTTTAAACAATTTTAGTGGGTACCACCAAATGAACAAAAATGGCTGTCTCTTAGCACCGGACACTAAGTCGTCCCTTAGCGGCGGGCACTAAACATATTGATATTTCTTATGAGAATTGACGTAATTTATTCTAATTATTTAATTTTGTTCTGTATGAGTGCTAACGGTCACTGCATACCCCCATTTTTTGTATTTTCTAGTCAAAGAATGAAAAGCTTATGATGAATGCTCCAGCTGAGAGCATCGATGTGTCCCATCCAAAAAGGGTGGATGAATATAGTGATTTTTTTGCAATATCTAAGAATATTAATCAAACCCACGTGTGCAGATATTCCAGAGTGTGGAGATGGCTACATATTTGTTCAATTCAGGTTATTTTGGAATGTCCGGTACTAGGTGCCATTTTTTAAAATCATATTGTTTGTTACCAAAGTTTGATTGATAATATTAATTATTTTTAGCAAAGGTTACAATTTTGTTAATTTAGTTTGATTTTTAACTTTTTTATCTACCATAAGTCATAATTTAATAAACATTCCGTACAATATTTTTTGATTTATTTATAAATAACTTTAGGTGTCCGGCACTCGGGAACTTCTCCTTAATTATAGTTTATGTTGCTTCATAAAAAAAATTAGTTACTTCAGAACCAAGTTAATTTTCCCACAAACAACTAAAGAATAAATTATCAAAGGTGCTACTGTCGCTTTATTGTCGTTACTACTTGCCCCGGTAGATTTTACAACTAGCCCCAAACACGAGGTAAGTTGTAACACCCCACTTTTTATAGGAAATGATTAATTATGAAATAATAAATTATGATTATGGAATAATTTTTTCTTGGTTTGGCAGAGAAATAGTTACAGAAACTATATCTTTCACTTTGTAGAAAGATTATCCGTAAATTGCACGATATATGAAATAATGTTATTTCTAATAAAAACTGTTATAACATTCTTCTAGCTTTCCAACATATAAATGATATATATACGTGTATATATACATATGTATGACTGTGTAAACTCCTATAAAAAATATTTTAAGAGTAAACACAACATAGTTTTTTAGTTGTGCGCATATTATTTTTATTTTCAAATTGAACATAGGCGCAGGTGGAATTCATGGCATTATTTAAATATTTAAATATAATATATGGTAAATGTTAACATGTTTATCTAAATCTATAATATGTCATACAATGTTGAACATGGTAATTTACTCTATATTAAATTTGTTTAGAACATATACTGTATATTTCATATCAAATAAAAGATGATTTGTAAAAGATCCATGTCACCTATCCAAAATTCGTTGTTGAAAATATATATTTTTGTAGGACATGCAAATTATAATTTGCTGTTATTAATTTTTTATTATAAAATGTTACTTACATTTCAGTAAGATAAACTATTAATTCTTATGAATTCAATGAGCTTTGAAAAATAATTAAATGTACAAAACGGTTGTTCATTTTACATGCACTAATAGTCATGTTCTTTAAAATTTACTTTTTAATGCATCTTTTACAATATAATTACTTCCTAATCTTTTAAAGTTATTTTATAAATTTATGTGCTCAATAATCATGCTCGTGAGATCCATGTTCATAAAAATGAATACTGAGTTGCATTTTTAATGTACACATATGAATGTGCTCAATTACAATATAAAATATATGTTGGAAATACTTATATTATTTATAAATCTATAAAAGATCTTATATTTGATATAAGGACACGTTTTGTAATTAATTCTCGATCAGACTTGTTTAGGTAGGTCCTAAATCAGGTCTTTATATATAATGTAATAATTAGTAATAATACTTATAGTTTAGGCTTGTTTTGAAGAAAATATATTAAAAAAGCTGATTAAATTCAATTATATTGTTTTCAAAAGCTAAGAGCATGAACTACATTTAAATCATTATCTTTTTTGAAAAAAAAAACGGATGTCTAGCTCAACTAAATCAAAACAATTTGTCACAAATATGGCTACTTTTGTAGTTCAAATCTCATTTGATTTTTAATTCATAAAAAACGCATACAGCTCGAAATTACTTTTTCTCAAGAAAATGAAATGTGATTAATCTAAAAGTTCTTTGTAATCGATCGATTGTCATATACGTCTCTAGTATGTGTTTTTTTTCTATCTAGATATTCTCTAAATGACTGTATCTAAAAATGATTTTTTGTGGGAGAAATTACAGTATTTAATTTAACACCAAAGGTAATCAATGAGATGACGTACATTTCTAACCATTTAAAATTATTACTTATTTTAGGTCATAAGTACACATACATTTTCTTAAATAGGTAACCTTTTATAAGTATATGAGATCTTTACATTAAACATTCATTAAAACATTGAATAATATATTTGCTAATTTAAATATCATTAATTTACAACGAATGTAATAAATTATTTTCACTAGCTTAATCCCTTGTCAAATATGCTATCTGCAATAGTAATATGAGTGCAAAATATTATTTTTTTGTGAAAAAACTATTTTTTGCAAAAGAAGGTTTTCTCAATTTTTTACATTTTACACTTGTCTAAATTAATATTTATTTGTAGAGCAAATGCAGCAAATGCAAAAAGTGAAATTGATTTTATAGAGAGCAATAATCAATATTAACATATTTTACTTTTATATAATAAAAAATATGAACATTCTTTGAGTATCAAGAAGATAAATTAAAAGTAAGCCTGTGTCAGAACAAGTTTACAAAGTTTAATAAAATTAGTGTTCGTTGAAGTTGAAGGGTTTATACTTTTCCTAATTCAATTTAATTGTATCAGTCAACTATTTGCAAAACCGGCTATAAAAAATTACCAAGTTGTAAAAACAAAATTGTTTTTAAGATAATTTAACAAAAGTAACAAAAACAACAATCTATAAACATTTTTATGAGTTAATTTCTAATTATTAACGCATTTTTTTTCTGGTATTGATTATTGTTATTAAACAAAAACTCGCTAAAATTATTATCTACAAAATGTTATGAATAATAATTTACTAACACTTATTTTTATATTCAATTTTATATTTGTAACAAAAATGTGCTCTGATACCATTTCTATATTATCGATTATATCTTACTATTAAATTTTTAAAAACTGAAATATATTACTTCGGCATGATATTTATGAAGTATTTAACGAGCAACAATAAAGTTTTAAACAATTTATAATTTAATTATGAAATTATTAAATATTTAATTTCACAATAATTAAAGAACATACTTTCTCACTTACATCGAGTATTAGATTTATGACTGAATGAGAACAAATATATATGCGCATCATAATTAAAATACCAGCTCATTAGGGGAGACTGGGTACAGTTTTGCCAGGGTACGGTAGTGCCAGTCGTCTGACTATACTGATTTTGGTATACAGTCCAAAAGGAGTTTCTCGTAAAATGCGCAGATGATACATTTGTCACCATTGTAATGATGATTCTGACCAGATTTCTTTATATTGATACTAGGGTTTGTCGGTTTTCAAAAACCAATTTTAAAAACCGGTTTTTGACGAAAATTATGGATTCGAAAACCTGCTTTTAGTAGAAGAAGTCGGTTTTCACTGTATAAATGGAAAATGACAATAAAAAGTCAAATATAAAAGATAGATGCAAGCATTTTGATTCTTGGAATCATATCGGTTCGATAACATTTGGAATTATATTAGTCTGTAAATGTATTATTTTTATTTAAATTCGAAAACTTCCCTTTCACTTCATAAAAATATTTTTGTTCTTATATATGTGAAAATGATGCATACATAACGAATAATTATTTTCAAAGTTATTTAATCCAGATAAACTATTAATTTTTGTTCTATTAATTAAAAATAGAATAGTTTTATTTACTATCCAGAAAATTAACCAATAAATAAATTTTCTAGATGTTGATGAATATAAAAATTTAATTTATATTTTACATAGATTTTAAAGAAAAAAAATATAATAACACTAATCGTGATAGTGACTCATAAATTATAAGAAGGAACTTGATCGCATAGTTCAGTTTTTTTCTTATTAACTTTATTTAAAAAATATGTTTGGAATATATTATTATATAATATTTATAAGATTTGTGATATTTCAAATAATTATGTTTTGTTGCATTACTTGTTTCTGAAAATAAAAATTGTTATAAGCTATTTTAGTGTTTATAGCTAATGTTTTTTAGCCTATGTTTATGCCTGTCACAACTGTCACGATGATGTGGACGGATGTGACACTCGTCTTTTTTTTATATGATTTAATTTTATGACTAATCCATCGCATTTAAAGAAATTATTTCAGTATTTTAACGTTGATATACAATCAAATTACCGTTTAATTTACTTTTCTTCTAGATACCTGGTAAACTAACAAAATTATTGATGATCAAAAAAGGCACAACCGTGCCCAGTCTCCCTTGCATATAAATATTCTAATTAATTTTTAAAAATATATTTTTATATGTATTTTCAAAAATTCACTAATTGTAAGAAGAAGAACTAAAGGGATTTAACTATTCAATGCAACATAAATGATAGTTTGAAATAAATAGCAAAATGCTTAGGCTATCACTCAGTAACAGTACTAAAGTTATAAAATTATGTCTTTTAATTGATAAATTCGTTAGGTTCTCCAACCAATCGTTACTTTGTGACACTTACAAAGTTATGACAAAATAGATTTTTGCGTCAGTATGACTGACATAAGTCAAGTGGATAATGAATTTCATTTTCCAATTTTTCATAGATCATAAAACAAAATAAATAATTTCTTTACAAATAACTTTCGGAAAATTCAAAATCCGATTGGCTAGCCCTCGAACTTCTCGTATAAACCGACACAGCGCCTCCGATCGCAGAGTCGAAATCCGAACTGGCGGTCACGCCGTCCGCCACTATAAGAGGAGCATTTTCAGCATCAAGATAATTATTTGTCTTACCCGAATTTGTGTTCGTTATTGTGTTTCCTGATAGCAAATTTGTTGTTTGCGTCATTCCACCTGGTTGGAGGTTTGTCAAACCTTTAACACCTTGATCTCGCTCTGACAGGCGCTGTTTTAACAGGCGAATTTTATCTTCTTTCTGTAATTCACAAAAAAAAAACATTGAACATTATTAACTTCCCGTAGGGTAAGTTATAGTAATCGCAAAAAATCGAAAATTAAAATTTTTATATATCTTTACGTTTCAGAGGTTTCTGAATATTTTGGCATACCTTAGAAAAAATGGATGTATGTGTGTGTGTGTGTATGTGTGTGTGTGCGTGTATGTATGTGTGTGCGGATACAAATTTTCGTCGACGATTTCGGGAACACGGATGAAGCAATTTGAATAATTCAAAAAACATTCGATTCTTATTGATAAGGAGACGTGCTGATTAGTTTTTGGCGAAGGCAGGTCTAGCCGTTCCAAAGATATGGGGCAAAAAGTGCCAAAAACGGTAACTCGGTTTTTAAGAGAACGGAGCGTCCGATTTTGATCATTCATTTTAATAAATCATTTTTTTTGTATTGGCAAGATGAAGAATTGATAAAATTTGAAGAAGGCAGGTCTAGCGGTTTCGGAGTTCTGGTAAAAAAAGCAAAAAAAATGTCATTTGACGGTCAAAAATGATCATTAGAAATGTGCACATCAAATTATCAGATATTTTATAGAGATTTTAACAATAAGTACAAATTTTGTTTACATTCCTATGGGTTCCGTACCAATGTTTATCCATTAGACGGCGACGCGGTGCTTATGCGCTTCGATATTTCGTATCTATGCAGTTAAAGCAGTACTATTGCTTTGAAAAAAAGTTCAGAATTTCCAAAATATTTCAAAACTAGCTGTAAGTGGAATTCTGTCTTAAGGCAATTAGGGCATCGTGCCTTAAGGCAAATTGCTGGAACTTCCCGTACCAAAAATTATTATTTTTTTAAAAACGATTAACATTTTTGAAAAAAATTTAATTAAAAAAAATAGATTTGAGAAAATACAAATTTGACAAAAAATTACTTTTTTTTTGAAAAAAAAAATTTATATGAAAAAAAATATTTTTTTTTGAAAAAAAAATTTTTTTTTTGGATACAAAAAATTTTTTTGAAAAAAATGTTTTCTTCATTTTGACATATTTTGGAAACTCTGAACTTTTTTTCAAAGCAATCGCACTGCTTGAACTGCATAGAGACGAAATGTCAAAGCGCGCATGTGCCGCGCCGCCGTCAAACGCATAAGCATTGGTACGGAACCCATAAAAATGTAAAAAAAAAATATACTTATTGTTAAAATCTCTATAAAATATCTGATAATTTGATGTGCATATGTCTAATGATAATTTTTAACCGCCGAACGGCATTATTTTTACTTTTTTCATTAGATCTCCGAAACCGCTAGACCTACCTCCATGAAAATTTGATCAATTCTACATCTTGTCAATACAAGTAAAATGTTTTTTGAATTATTCAAATCGGACGCTCCGTTCTCTTAAAAACGGAGGTACCGTTCTTGTCACTTTTTGCCCCGTATCTTCGGAACGGCTAGACCTGCCTTTGCCAAAAACTAATCAGCACGTCTCCTTATCAATACGAATCGAATGTTTTTTGAATTATTCAAATCGGTTGATCCGTGTTCCCGAAATCGTCGACGAAAATTTGTATCCGCACATACATACACACACATACATACATACATACATACATACACACACACACACACACACACACACACATACATCCATTTTTTCTAAGGCATGCCAAAATGTTCAGAAGGTTTTGAAACGTCGAGAAATGCAAAAATTTTCATTTTCGATTTTTTTGCGATTACTATAACTTACCCTACGGGAAGTTAATAAAGAAATGTCAAAAATTTATAATCTTCCAAAAATCTAATCTTTTCAGAGTAAATTTTTTTCAAAAATGCTAATCTTTTCAAAAAATATAATTTTTGATATGGGAAGTTCCAGCAATTTGCCGTAAGGCACGATGCCATGCGCCTCACTAGTTAAACTTGTATTGTGCAGTATCGTATAAAATAATAATTAACAGTGCAAAAATATCAGTGTGAAGAAAATGGCGATATGTGTAATAATTATTATTCAAAGTCAGATAAACAAACAATTTTAATCTAATAAGAAACTTTTCAATAATTCAAAATGTTTTAATATTACAGAATGTTATGAAACCTATTTTTTTGTTATCGATATTGTAACCTTCTGCAATATATGTATTATGTATACATATATACAATTTATATGATAATATCTAAACTTGCAAATTTGAATATTAATGTAAGAGGAAACAAGTAAACTATAAGTAATTATAGTAAGTATTTATGAATGTAAATTTATGCAATTAATATTATGAAATTTACGCTACTTAAATTATACAAATATATATAAATTATATAGGGTAGAGCGGTGCTTAAAGTTAAAGCTAAGTCGCGAGTCTGAAGAATACCTCAAAAACACGTATGTGTTTTTACTACGCTATTTTAAAGTAGAGAGCAAAATATGTGTAACTGACCAATCGGGCGACGTCGCTGTCATGAGATAAATTACCACGTTGTCGATTTTTAAGAGAAAGAATTGTTTTCTTGTTATTATTTAGTTATGACCGCTATTGTTTGACACTGCACTCAACGGCAATTCGTATATACTTACACACCGCGCGCGGTCAAGTTGACCTACAATTAAAAAGTCATCTATTTTATTATTTAATTGAGATAATGATTGATTTATTCTTTAATATATATATATAATAAAAAAATGATGAAGTTTTAACTAAATTTACTTTTATATAATTTCTAAAAAAATATTATTAATTAATTAGAGAAACAAAGAACTAAAATTAAATATTTATATAGAATGCCGTATGAATACACAATGTACTTTATTTGGCTTTCTGACATTGTTTATCCATTATTTTATTTTGAAAATGTACATTTCACGTAAATATATTTGTTGTTTCGTAATATCACAAAAATTTTGTTTGGCAAGTTGTTTTGTGCCGACAGTGTTGATAAAAACTTGAATTTCTTGAAATTTTGAATATGCATCTCAAGTTAAAGAAATAAAATATAATAAATAAAACAAAAAATCGTGCTTGAAAATGCCTTAATTCGTCGTCTCAAGACGCAATTTACGCATTTATCCAACTAGGATCAAAATGTTAATGTATACCTGAAGTTGCCAACTACAAGTTTTCGATTTCATTTTACATTTAGCCATCTGTTCTACTACATTTTCACCAAACAATGTGCTAATACAAATTCAAACAATTTTCGGAACACTTTTGCTGTTTTCTTCTATTTCTATTAGATAATGTTTGAAACTTAGGACAAGCGTTTATTGGGTTTACTTTTAGAAAAACGAACTATTCAATTAAAAAATTAAACAATTTCTTCTCTTGTCATTTCGCAAACAGGGAAAATCACTATTATATTTACTATTGACTTAATACGGCGCTTAGAACTTTATTCTAGATTTGTCTAGTTCATTTCGTATATCTATTATATAAAAATAAGTCGGGTTTTCCTTCCTGACGATATAACTCCAGAAGGCACAGACCGATTTGGACGATTTTGCATTCGCTGGAAAGGTCTCGGACTCCGTGAGGTTTATAGCAAAGAGAATTGAAGAAAGATTTCAACAGAAAAGCGGAAAACACTTTTTATTTTTTCACATACAGCGTCATCTCTGATACTTAGCATGTACTACAAACTAATATTTTTAGTTTGACAGCTACTCATTTCTTTGACAGCTACTCATTATTATCTACTCAGTTAATTTCATGTGACAAACCGGCATTGTGTTTACTGTGAAATTGTGCAAAAAAGTAAAAAAATAAGTTATTCGTTTCCTAATATTTCAATTGGAAACCATCAAATCAATCAGGTGTTGTGCAAATTTTTATTCACTTTCAACAGCAGGCATTTTATTCTTCTTCTCTTAATCACCAAAAAAATGTTACATAAAATGAAACCATCTGGTGGTGAAACGTAGTTCGCCCGGTTTGCTGGTTTTGTATAATTTTGAACCTTCATTTTGGCGAAAACAACAGCAATAATATTTTCCATTATGATTATTTTCATTACGATTAATAATAAATGTTAGCATTTTAATTTTTAATTTGGTTGTTCAACCAAATAACTGAAATGATTGATTAAATACAGTAGCTATCCTTCCGGGAAACGTCTTTAAAATTAAAAATAAAATAGTATATGTTTTTGTCCCCTGCTAACACTTTTTATTTCGCCCTACTCCGGATTCCATACGACCAGATGACACATTTTAGAAAAATGGCAAAAAAACTATTTCTATAATGATTAATTAGCTGGGAACTTTACTGAAGATAGCTCGATAGTTATTTGTGTGATATGTGATATTTATGGTATAGTAATGTAGTTGATTTTATGGTTTTCACAGTAATTAACTTCCCGTAGGGCAAGTTATAGTAATCGCAAAAAAAATCGAAAATGAAAATTTTTGCATTTCTCGACGTTTCAAAGGTTTCTGAATATTTTGGCATACCTTAGAAAAAAATGGATGTATGTGTGTGTGTATGTATATATGTGCGGATACAAATTTTCGTCGACGATTTCGGGAACACCGATCAACCGATTTGAATAATTCAAAAAACATTCGATTTGTATTGATAAGGAGACGTGCTGATTAGTTTTTGGCGAAGGCAGGTCTAGCCGTTCCAAAGATACGGGGCAAAAAGCGCCGAAAACGGTAACTCAGTTTTTAAGAGAACGGAGCGTCCGATTTTAATAATTCAAAAAACATTTTACTTGTATTGACAAGGTGAAGAACCGATAAAATTTTCATAAAGGCAGGTCTAGCGGTTTCGGAGATCTAATAAAAAAAGTAAAAAAAATGCCATTTGGCGGTCAAACACTAATGGCGGTTAATACTATATGTTAACATTGTAATTTTTAATTTAGTTGTTCATCCAAATAATTAAACGGATTGCTTATAATATAGTACATACTTATCCTTGAAACGCCTTTAAAATTAAAAATAAAATAGTATGTTTTTGCCCCGTGGCTAACACATTTTAGAAAAATGGCAAAAAACCTATTTTTTCAAGGATTAATTAGCTCAAAGTTATACTGAAGATATCTCGATAGTTGTTTGTTTGATATGTGCTATTCATAGTATAATTTAGTTGGTTTGATGATTTTCGCAGTAATTACTAAAATCAAATTGGAACTTTGTGCCACCGCCGTACCCTATAGATTAATTGCATCCATGTTTTTGTATTACGCTGCAATATTTCATCCTCATTAACTTACCGCAGCGATTTGCCGCTGTAATTCATCATTTTCGCTTTGTAATCTCTGATACCTCTCCTCGTCTTCTTTTGATACGGCGCTGTCGGCATTGTAACGAGATTCTGCTTTATCACGTGGATGTCTTATTACTTCTATTACCTGTCATAGAATATAAATATTTATTAGAATAAATTATTTCTATTTATTAGAATAAATTATATTTAATTGCAATTTTATATATTTGATTTGAAAAATAGATCACTTTCGTATTGTCGTTGATGTACATATTATAAAAAAGGCTGATCATGAATTTTATTCAAATCAGGATGATGATTTGTACTACGGCGTAACTTTAAAATGTTGATTGAAGTAAAACTTCTTTAGGCGCGACATGAGTGTAAATCCGTACAAATGCAACAGAAATTGTTACGCCAAACTGAAGTGAGAGTCATTCGCTCTCGATGACATGATTTCTATACGGGTCGATTCTAATGCGTGACTTTATACGTGCGTACGTCACCGAAAGCGTGCTTTATTCGTGCATACGTCCATCATACGTCACCGAAAGCATGAAACAAGGAAAGAATGAAAGGAAAGAAATTTAACGTAAGTTTTTATGTTTCTCTTTTATGATGGCTATAAAGACTAGTTATAATTTATTATAATAGTGATTATAAATAATGACGTAGGTTCAAAGCCTCTTACATACTCTGAAACATCAAGATTACATGGTCAAACAAAACAACTGCAGAAAAATAATCAGCCAATTTATTAGAAAATCTTGAGCCGAATATCAATTTAGATGTTAATGTCAACACTATTGGCATGAGTGAGAATCTTTTTTTGCTATTTGAATCCTGAAAAACGCTTCAACTATTCACATTTAAACATATTATTCTGTTATCTTTTTAGATGAAAGTACTGCTGTTACTTTTTCTGATACAGTAAATATATCACGTCAATTGCAAATTGATGATTCTTTATATAATGTGACTAATAATGTGACAAGATTTGATCTTTTGCAAGAGTCAAATGAAGTATTTGAACTTCCATTTAAAGACTTCAATTTGTTTAGGAATGCACGAAAATTGTTTGAAAAACAATTTACAAATGATAGCTTTGGCTATGTATGCTTTGTGTGATAGACTTTGGTTTCAAAGTAATTTCAAATTATCAAATGATGCTCAAAAACAAATTCTTTATAATGGTTTTCTGAATATTGATTCTAATAATCAGGTTGGATGTCAAACTTGTCGAAAGGCATTAAACTCGGGTAAAATTCCCACTTTGTGTAAATTTAACAGGTTTGTATTTCCACCTATACCAAATTATCTACCAAAACTAGATACTGTATCTGAAAGGTTAATTTCACCTAGGCTGTGTTTCATGCAAATTAGACAATTGCGACATGCAAATGCACAATTTGGAATATTTGGCCAAATTATAAATGTGCCTGTTGACGTTAATAATATGGTTAATTTATTACCTTGTAATATTGATGATGATCATTGCATTAACGTTCACATAAAAAAGAAAATAATTCATAGATCAAGCTATGTGCAGGGCTTGATAAATAAAACAAATATAAAAGTATGGCTTCAATTTTTTAGGCAAAACAGATATTACAGCTGTTCAAAGAATGAGATTATATCGCCAGTGAAAAAGTAAAAAAATACAGTCAATGAATGTATGTTAATTTTTATTTTAATTACATAAAATGCTTCAAACACAATTATTACATGATGAGTGAAGTTACAAAAACAATATTTGTTTAGGCGTTGTTTAATATAATCCACTGTGTGAACGAATATTATAGAATTTATTAATCAGCAATTACTTTAAATCGATCACGTCATATTTCAAGTATGACTTTGATTAAATTATTGTTTGTAAATATTATACATATTTTTAATGCAATCATAAATATATAATTTAAAATTTATCATTATATAAATGTGTATAATGATTGACGACACTAATAAATGCGTACATCACGAGTGTTACCATATTACTAATAAATATTATTTAAAATGTTACATGATGTATTTATTTTCACTTAACTTAAATTTGCAGTGTACTGTAGCAAATAAGTTCTACTTCAATCGCAAATGATCCTTACGCGCACTTTTTTTTACCTATGCCGATTTTCTGGTTGCTATCGGTACGCATACAGCGTTGATGCCAGTACTCATACTACGACAGATCTCTATTCACATACACGGTGTCTTATCACAATCGACCTGTATAGAAATGATTTCATCGAGAACGAATGTTGAAACATTGGTCGTAACGCACTTCCATTCGCACATTTGTACGGATTTACACTCAAGCCGCGCTTAAAGAAGTTTTACTTCAAAAATATTTAAGAATATCTATATACATACAAAGCAATTATTCATGACAAGTGATTGTTATTGACAAGCACTTATGTGAAACTAAATTGTGGCAATTTGGGTTTGATATTTGTTACATATACATATACTAATACACATATAAAATTTAAATAATATATTTTCAATATCTCACCTTTGGTACAAATATGAGTGCCATGCTAAGGAAGCAGCAAAATACGACGGCGAGAGCAACGAACGCAAAACTGGCATCTTGCTGCCCGGCAATGACCATCGTGACAGGCGCCGTTATCAGGCAAAGAACGACCACATTGTATATGCTCATGCCAACGTACCGAGAATCGTTGATTTGCTTCAGCTTGATGGATCGAGTTTCATATGCCAAAAATAATCCGAACACGAGCACCAAGCCTTTGTAGCCGTATATTACACCTAAAAACAATCAAAATATCTATAATATTTATAATTGAAGTATTGAAATCATGGTCGCAACACAATTTAGTGATTAAATCTACTGATATATGTGTAATGTGCCGCTGTATTTAGTAAACTAACTTAAAAAGCGGCCAAATCCTTTGTAGAAAGTACAGGCTAAGTATTTAGTAGAACATACTTCGTTCATGAACCTAGACACAACGATATTTATAATGGACAACTATTACCCAACAATAGCCACCCCAAAACGTTCTAAAACTCTCATGCCTTTTTATTTGCTAAAAGACACATTTCTGAAAAAGCAAAATTTTCGAAAAGTGCCGGACTATCGGGCATTCCAAATTGTTGGATACCGGAGAAAAGGACTTCTACATCTATCGTACTTTTTTCTTTCATAATAACCTAATGGTCCTATGAGCTTACAAACTACGTTTTTTTGTTTATTGGTGGCAACCCAGACAGTTGTCTTATCTCTATGTTCATTGATTTTTATAACGACAATATCAAAATAAAGGCTAGATTCACTTGGAAACATATTTCTATCTATATTTTCCAGTAAAAATGGTTGTCGCTACTACTTGACATCAGGCTGCTCGAAGCAAAATCGAAGGCGTGACCTCTGATTCATGTCCACTAGTCCTAACCACTTACTAGCAAACCCTATAATTACATTAAAAAGGCATTTTGAATCGGATTCACATAAGGAACCATTGTTTTCTGCGTGATCTAATCGAATAAAAAAGTAGAAGAATTGAAAAATACATTGATAGAATTGATAGACATGGTGCAGGACACAAAAATATAAAAACCAAAATTGGAGAAGTAAAAAATAAGCTGTTAATAAGACAAAAAATGTGCTTCATTTTAATTACGATATGGGTACCAAAAATAGTAATTATTGTCAAATTAGTACCATCATTGGCAAGTTGCAATATTTTCATACGGCACATAAATAGTATCGAATAGTATCGATAGTAAACATATCGAATGCCACTTATGAACTGTTTTAATTATTCTTTATATTTTTGGTTTGTTTCAGTTTTATGAAATATTTTCACATATAAGACCTAGTGTGCGAAGCCTAGACTGTAACAACAATGATACATTTAAAAAAAATATGTAATGCAAAAAAATATAATACTGGTTGTTATTCATAGCACTTAGCAAAAATGTAAATAAATAGTTTTCACTGAGATTAGCTTAAATATGATTAATAACGCTCCTGAACGTGCATCAAACACTAAAACTCCCCGTTCAACTCATCCATTGAAATTCAACCGATAAATCTTTGATAAATCCCACTAACCAGAATCTTGTTAAAGTATTGGTTTTTGTCGTCAATGTTTATATTTTTAATTACTTGCTATAATCGCGTATAATGTTAGGTAAAACTTTAAAAAATAAAATATAATATTTCGTAATTTATTTTAATAGCATTAATTGTAGTTTTATTGTGTCAATCTGTTTATGCTCCAAATATAATAGAAACACAATGAAGATGAGAAAAACGTTGCTGAAATCTGTTTCCTATGTCATTTGAAAAGAGAAGGGCCAGGAAACGACAAAAAATATAAAATTTTAATCATCATGCAGAAGAATTATATATCGGAGATTTTGCCGTTATTTTTATTTTTATCCGCTTTTTGTAGTTTGACCCGCAATTTTGGCTTTAGATTTGCGTTCAAATTAAAAAGTACATTGGAAAACTTATGTCGCACATTTAATATAGACAACTAACCTATAAATCCTAGCTATAATTTCAAAATTGCATTGTCTAAGTTTATTCATGATTAAAATCAAATACTAATAAGTAGTCAATCAGAATTCATTTATGTATAGATACAACCTCGAAAAAAAATCTGGATAAACATAAATTTGTCAATACTGTCACAAAAATTCAATTAGCAATCATTATAATGATTTGTAATCTTATAATTATAAATTTTGATATTCTTTAGATTCATCGATAAATGTTACTATCTTACCTAACCAAATAGCGTTATGTTCGCTTTCGCAATGCTCGAGTTCTGGCCGAATTTTGACATCATCGACCGATGTTGGAGGATCTTCTAATGGAAACTGTTCAATGCCTCTTTTTAAAGGATCTCTCAACTGCCACGTTAATAAAATAATAACATCGACAGCCAAAAGACCAGAAACCATTGTGTATAACTTCCAAGGCTCAACTCGTTTCTAGAACAAAATCACCTCGATGTAGCGTTATTACATTATATTATCTGTTTCATGAAAACTAGCAAACTATTTACATCATAGATTATTTAATTATTAAAGTTAATAGTTTATGTATATCGGTCTTTTAAACGTTCTGCATAAACTTATATTTTAATTTCATTATTTATCGTATAGGTAGGTATATATTACCTTAGGATCGGTTTTAGATTTTGTCGTAAATCTGTGCACCCTCCAAACTTTACTAAACATTGCTCCATAAGCCAAAGTGAAACCAATACATAATAACCACGATCTAGCATGACATACCTGCAAATAAAAGTATATAAATTAGTATATATGTATCACATTTATTGCAAAGTAGCATATAAAATTCAAGCTAAAATAAAAGCTAAAATTTTGTGTTTAATTCATGAAAATGTTATGAAAACATTTAGAAGTATGGATCATTTTAATTAAAATTATCTATATTACTATATGTTTTATTAAAAATAACAAAATTTAAATATTAACAAAAATTTAAAAAAATATTGCAGACATCATCAACTTAATTAGAAACTTTAGGTTTATATTAATTGAGTATCATATTGATTAGGTCCATGTAAAAACTTAGCTGAATATATAGAGTATAGCTGGGCTTAAAAGTGCGCGAGGAAAAAGGTCCATCAGCATAAGGGTAAGACTGGGCACAATGATTCAATTTGATTTTCAGCAATTATATTGTAAAACCCAAACCAATTATATGCCAACAAATTACACATGTAAATTATTTGACTATGATCAGTAAAAATTACCAGCTAATTCATCATTATAAAATGATTTTTTTTTTCAAAAATATATCTTTCGGTAATAACAATATCCTCTGTTAAATTTTAAAGGAATTTCATAAAATAATAGCTACAGTGCAAAATATAAATTTCATGGATACATTTTTATTTCAAGTTTATTTTTATATTTCACTTAAATGCCATTGGGGTAAAAAGGACCACCCAAACCTTCACATTGACGAGGTGTAAAGAATAAACAGTTATAAATAAAAATATTGAATAGGTTGAAAAAAGCAATTATACAAGAGATATATTAAATAAATAGTTGTTCCAACACTGATGATGAATTTTCCTGACAAGTTCCATAAAAATGTGCCCATAAAATATTTCAGACAATTGTATTTATTTGATATAAAAAATAAAAACAGAAGTTGTATTTTTCTGATAAATAAAATTGTGATGAATTTTATGAAATCTGGAATGATTGTATTTCAAGAAACAACGTGTCTGATTATAATAAAATTAACAGAAATACTTTATTAACTTATAAAGCAAGATGTAGGAAGTAGAAAGATTTGATAAAAAAATCTTTTATTATGTTTAAAAGTACATACGATTATAAATTTTAATTTTCAATTCAATCTTTTTGATTGAATAAAGTGGCCATTATTATATTAAACCCTTTTTAAATTGGGTAAAAAGGACAAGGTCACATTTTTTTTTAAAAATTACAAATCAAAGCATATTTCTACAATGACAAATTAACTGGGAATTTTATTAAACATAGTCTGATAGAATGTTTTTTGATATGTGTTATTTGTTGTAATAAAAACTTTCACAAAATAATCGCTGCAGGTCAAATTGGACCTTTCCTATATTCAAGTGTATACACATAGATTTTGTTATTTTTTATATAAATTAGATATAAAATAAAATATATCTCGTTTTAGATATAAAAGTACTGTATTTTATACAACATTAAAAAAAATTGTTATAGCTACTGCTGATATTATTATGCGTACTAGGAAATATATTTAATTTATATCAGAGGAAATAGTATTCTAAACTATTCTGACAATTTGTTTTTTCTGCATAGGTTTATTATTGATCAAAATAATATAATTTTTTAAGACAATATTCTGGATGTAAATGCAACAAACAATTTACACATCAAAGAAAAAAAACAAAATATATATAATGTTTTATAATTTAGTTTGATAACGCCAAACTTGTGTTTGACTATTGAAGTATATGAGATAATGGATTTAAAAAATTATTTGCCATTTTATGATGTTAAAATTTTTATAACTTACTTGTGGATAAGTATCTTCACTGACAAACTGCCCATCAATACCCAGGAGCATGACCGAAATCAAACAGATTATTACACCAAATAACATAATCGTATTGCAAACGGGATGTGATGATTGAATTACTCTGAAATAATAATGGAAATTATGAAATTTGTTATAGCATTAAGGTCAATTTGATGACAAATATAATTATTACCATATTATTCGAAATTTGTTATAGCCATAAAATCAAAATGAAAAAGCAATTGAACATTTTAGTAGCGTGTTCTAATACATTTATTATGTAATACGTTGTTTAATAGTCGCATATGCTAATATTTAGAAAATAGAAAACGGTTACTCAAGTCGTACTCCGGCTAAATTACGCCTGATAATTCTATAATAAAACGTCTTTTAGTACCGTCTTTTAGGTAATTTTTACAATTGAAAGTCTACCCGACTTTATGGAACACAAATAATAAAAATGTAAGTGAGAGGAAGTAAGTTGTAAAGTATCTACTAATATTTTTGATACAGTTATAAGCCTTTTATGGCAATAATATGATTTTGATTATTTTATTAAAACTTATTTATATAACTCATTTTACATCTCTTAAAATATATTTAAATCGCGCAGTTTTTTAAGATTTTGTCAACAGTTAGCAGCTTAAGACGTTCCTGTGCAAAATTCAATTGGTACTAGTACAATAAAGAATTACAATCACGGACCAAATGGAGAAGACCAATGGAACAAGGTAATTTTAAAGGCAAAGTGCTTATAAAAGATGACAATCTACCACCATTAAAATGACATCTTGGACGGATCACAGATATACACCCAGGCAATCATGGTGTCGTAGGGGCTGTTACACTGAAGGGCCCCAATAGAGAATTAAATTAAGTGCAATTAAAAATTAAACGAAGTGTGCATTCTACCAATCAACAATGAAATATCTTAAGTTTTATATAATATTAAGAAATATAGGTTAAATAATTTTAGATTAGATTGTCATGTAAATCACTATTACATTGTTTAATTAATTTTTACACTCGTAAAATCTTCATACAATTCCTGTACTTATTGTTAGTTCAAAATCTATATGTTTATATTTTTAAAAGTTGTAGCTTTTCAAGGCGGCCGGCATGTTCGGACGTATTTTCGTTTTATTATATTAGCCATGAAGGTGACAACCTTCAGGACATTAAGCTTTACACGGAATGGTTGCTGCCCCTGATAGAGGGGGTAGCGGAATGTTTTAATTGAACTAGTTATTCATTTCTAAAAGTAAAGTCCATAAAACAACATGTATAGTAAATAATAAAGAAATATATCTTCTTTCATTATAACTTAGTGACAATTCAGTGATTGTAATTAGAACTGCAACAAATACATAATAAAAAGCGTTTTTGTGTATTTTTTTATAAATATGATAAAATAATTGTTTAATATCATTTTCGAAAGATTTTGTTCAAGTTAGAAAACACCAAAAAAGTTTATAATCAATAACAGCTTTATCTTAAGAAACTGTTCACCTGTTATCTTCAGAAGTTCTGAAACAGAACACTTCACTTGTTCTGAGAATACTGCTACTTAAAAGTTTTATAGGTGCATTCGTTACTTTTTTAGATTATTATTTTTATTTTCGATAATATTTTAATAATTATGCTCGACGTTGTAATCAATAGCTAAAGAAAAGTTGATCCAAAACTAAATTTTTTATAGTAGGTACGACTAAGGCTATAGACCAGTGGTCGGGGAACCGGGATAAATTACCCCAAATGGGGTAAAAATGGATTTTTTGGGGGTAAAAAGTATATATTTGCAGAGCACTAAATCAGCTTCAGTAAAACCTACTACCGAAAAGAAAATCTGCATTAGCAAAAAATGTGAAGTTTTTGCATTAAAACAAACTATATATTTTGCGTGGTGAAGCTGAGACTTACCTTCTTCATTATACAGAAGTAAGGTGGCTCTCACGCCGAAATATTTTAAATTGAGTATGTCCTCTTAAAAATGAAGCTGAAATCTCTATGGTTTCTCAAAAAAATATTCTTGCTGAAAATTTTAAAAACGCTTCCAGGGTTGCATATCTCACATATTTAGCAGACTTGAAATTTTGAAGAAATTATGTCAAAGATGAAGCAACACCATTTCTCCAAATCGTAATGTTCTTATATTACATGTATGCGTAGGGTAAGTTATGGGAATGGGCCGAAAATGAAAATTTTTGCATTTCTTCACGTTTCAGAGGTTTTTGAACATTTTGCCATACCTCAGAAGAAATCGATGTGTGTTCGTGTGTATTTTGTGTGTCCGCATTTTTTCGTTCACGTTTTCGAGCGCACGGATAAACCGATTTGAATGGTTCATTCAACATTCGGTTCCTATTGATAAGGAGATATTCTGATTAGTATTTGGCAAAGGCAGGTCCAGCCGTAACGGAGATACGGAATAAAGAGTGCTAAAAATAGAAATCGAGTTTTTAAGAGAACGGGGTATCCCATATGAATGATTCAAAAAACATTCAATTTGTAATGATTGGGAGAAATAGTGATTAGGTTTTGGCAAAGGCATGTCCATCCATTTCGAAGATGCAGAGCTAAATGTACAAAAATGGCAGTTTTTGAAAGAACTAAGCATCCGATTGGAATGATTAAAAAAACTTGCTGTTTATGTTGACAAAACAATTACTTTTGGGAAAGAAAAATATTTCAAAAAATGTTTCTTTGTATATCGAAAATAATTCAGATTTTAATTCTGGTTCTGGCTAAAGTCCTAAAGGTGACTTATATTCTTCGAATAAATATTTTTTTTTAAATTTTGTGATTCAGCTTATATATATCTTATAAATATTATACAATGTTACAGTATTTATAATAATCTAATTGGAAACATTTAAAATTCCTCGAAAATTTCGTCACGGTGCGTAAAGTTCCAGCAATTTGCCTTAACGCATGATACCATACACACTAGTTAACTTCCCGAAGGAGAAGTTTATGTTTTCATCAAAAAATCCGATTTGCTAATTTTATGTTTTCTCGACGTTTCAAGCCATTCTGAAGCAAATGAGACCAAATTAGGAAAAAGTATATGTGTGTGTGTGTAAAATTTAAAAGCCATTCGATGTATCTCGACGAGGAATATTGTTTGTCAGTTTTGTGCGACGATCGGCCAAGCCGTTTCTTTATAAATCGCACGAACGTGAAAATTTTTTCGTCTACGTTTTAGCCCGCAATTCTGAACCGATTTTGAAAATTCAAAAACCATTCGAAAGATATTGGTTGGGAATCGTGCTGATTAGTTTTTGGTAGAGATCGGCCCGGCCGTTCTCTTGTAAGGTAGAGCGGGGCTAGTTGAGCAAATTTTTACTTAAACGGATGTAGCTCCTCAATGAAAAGTCTCAATAAATTGCTATACGGCTTAATGAATTCGTTGTTTATCGCTTAACAAAAGTGTTAATACTAGTTTTTGGTAATAAGTAAAATTTAAAAGCTACAGCTGTTTGAATGCAAAAAGTCAAGTATGCTCAATGTACCCCATAGGTGGGGCAAGTTGAGCACTAAGAAAGTATAATGAAATTATAGGTTCAATGTCGATTAGTGATGAAATAAAATACGTTTTTAATAACCAGTTCTATATTTATAGTCTTTATTGACAGAGAAAACAAAACTTATAGTAATTTGCTTTGAATAATTAACGATTAATTAACTTAGGAATTATTTTACCATTATATTCAGTATTTTGGTTTAAAATCATTATTTTTTTATATCATTACTCATAAACTTAGCTTAAATCTTAAAAATAATAATCAATTTCTGGAAGTTAATGGCAATTGTCTTAGTGACAGAACAAGTTTAGCAACCATGCTCAACTAACCCCAACTCGGAATTTCAAAATAAAAGTGAGTTTTTGAAAAAACCGCGAGAATTATACCCAGAATCTCTGTGCATATTAAAAGTACTATAATTATATGGAAGAATAAGATTTACCTGGTTAAAAATAAATAACATTTGACTAAACCAGACGAAAACTCGTGATGAATGACTTTTTTACTTTTTGGTCTCAAAATAAACAAAACGCCCGTGAGCCTCACTCATTTGTCCAGAGGCTACTAGCGATCGCGGGATGTCTATTTCTCCTAAACCTCTATCTTTCCGCCATATAATGCCTAAACATACGATGAATAGTTTTCGAGATATTTCGATTGCTCAACTTGCCCCTATGCTCAACTAGCCCCGCCCTACCCTAATAAACTTTAAAAAAAAAATTCGACGATTTTTATGATTATTTTTTTGGCGGTAGATACCATAGTCTTCTAGAATCTAGAAGACTATGGTCTAGAATCTAGATCATACTAAAATATTACGGCCCTATGACTAATTGTTTAGCTTTAAAAATTCGTCAAAGTTTGCAAAAATTGGTATCGTTTTTTTGACATTTGTCAAAATTAGACCTTTGATCGACGTTTTCTCAAAAACGCCTGAACCGATTTCAGCAATTTAAAAGCCATTTGATGTATTTCGGCGAGGACTATCGTTTGTCAGTTTTGGGCGACGATCTGCCAAGCCGTTTCTCTGTAATTTGAAAAAAAGTGTTAAACTTTTCGTCCACATTTAAGCTCATCCTACCGAACCGATTTTAAAAAATCAAAAACTGTTCGAAAGGTATTAGTTGGGAATGATACTGATTAGTTTTAGGTGAAAATCTACCGAGCCCTTTTCTTGTAATTAACTTTTGAAAAAAAAAAATTAAGCCGATTTTTATGGATTTTTGTTTAACGTTATATACTATGGTCTTATAGAATTTACTGAAATATTACGGCCTTACGACTACTAGATTGATTTTAAAAAATCATCAAAGTTTGAGAAAATGAGTAGTCCTTTTGACATTTGTTAAAATTAAAATTAGGCTATTTACTTGGTATAATGATAGAGTACTTGGTCTTGAATATAATAAACCATTAAAGTCCTGGAGACTGGTTCAATTATAAAAATTATTGATTTCTGAAAATTTACTTTTAGAAAATACTCCGAGTTAATCTGTTTGCTTGTTTTCAATTATGTGTAATAAATCCACTCGGAATACTTTTAATCACTCATAAATAAAATTAGTTTTTATTGATTAAGTCGATTATTTACTCATATCGGGAAGTTCATGTAACTTGCCTCAAGACTAAATAACAAACCAACTAGTTTATCCATGTATTAGTAGGATATTCATGAAAAATATATTTATTCATAATGAATATAATTTTTAACTTCCCGAAGGAGAAGTTTATGTTTTCATCAAAAAATCCGAATCGCTAATTTTATGTTTTCTCGACGTTTCGAGCCATTCTGAATCGAATCAGACCAAATTTGGAAAAAGTATGTGTGTGTGTGTGTGTGTGTGTGTATGTGTGTGTGTGTGTGTGAACAGATTTTTTGCCGTAAATCGACGTTTTCTCCAAAACGGTTGGACCGATTTCAAAAATTTAAAAGCCATTTGATGTATCTCGATGAGGACTATCGTCTCTGAGTTTTGTGCGGCGATCGGCCGGGCCGTTTCTTTGTAAATTGCAGAAAAGTGAGAAATTTTTCGTCCACGTTTTAGCCCGCAATTCTGATTCGATTCTGAAAATTCAAAAACCGTTCGATAGATATTGGTTGGGAATCGTGCTGATTAGTTTTTGGTAAAGATCGGCCGGGCCGTTTTCTTGTAATAAAGTTTTTTAAAAAAAAAATTTGACGATTTTTATGATTATTTTTTTGACGAAAGATACCATAGTTTTCTAGGTCATACTAAAATATTACGGCCCTACGACAACTGGTTCAGCTTTAAAAATTCGTCAAAGTTTGCAAAAATCAGTATGGTCTTTTTGGCATTTGTCAAAATTAGACTTTTGATCGACGTTTTCTTAAAAACGCCTGAACCGATTTTAGAAATTTAAAAGCCATTTGATGTATTTCGGTGAGGACTATCGTTTGTCAGTTTTGTGCAACGATCTGCCAAGCCGTTTCTTCGTAATTTGAAAAAAAGTGTTGAACTTTTCGTCCACATTTAAGCTCATCCTACCGAACCGATTTTAAAAAATCAAAAACTGTTCGAAAGATATTAGTTGGGAATGATGCTGATTAATTTTAGGTGAAAATCTACTGAGCCGTTTTCTTGTAATTAACTGTTGAAAAAAAGTGTTAAATTTTCGACCACATTTAAGCTCATCCTACCGAACCGATTTTAAAAATTCAAAAACTGTTCGAAAGATATTAGTTGGGAATGATACTGATTAATTTTAGGTGAAAATCTACCGAGCCGTTTTCTTGTAATTAACTGTTGAAAAAAAGTGTTAAATTTTCGTCCACATTTAAGCTCATCCTACCGAACCGATTTTAAAAAATCAAAAACTGTTCGAAAGATATTAGTTGGGAATGATGCTGATTAATTTTAGGTGAAAATCTACCGAGCCGTTTTCTTGTAATTAACTGTTAAAAAAAAATTTAAGCCGTTTTTCATGGAACTTTTTTTGGCGATATACATCATGGTCTTATAGAACTTACTGTAATATTACGGCCTTACAACAAGTAGTTTAATTTTAAAAATTCGTCAAACTTTGCTAAAATTATTATCGTTTTTTTTAAATTAGGATTGATGAAGTATATTATTTACACATTTTTTTGATCAAGTCGATTATTTACACATATCGGGAAGTTCATGTAATTTGCCTCAAGGCTAAATACCAAACCAACTAGTTACTTATTGTTTCCTTCAAACCCTTTGTTTCAGCCTTTTTCAAAGTTTAGAAGTAACGAACAATGTAGCAAACCGTTAATCTGCGGGTTATGGCAGGTTATACAAAAATATGTTGCAAACAGATTCCAATTATAGGCTCTTTTAGTTAATTTTTCTTTGTGGGGTAATGAGAGGTTGCACAAAAACATTTTGGGGTAACGGTTCCAAAAGTTCCCCGACCACTGCTATAGACGGTGCGATTAGGCTATTTAATCATACGGAAAGAACATTTTTGTGCAACGTTAAAATAAATTTGATTTTTTTTCGGAAAAAATCAGTGATTATTAATCAATAGCCTACTAAATGTAGATTTAGGAGCCATTTCTTGAATAAAATAGAGCGCAACATAGCGTTGTTATGGCAAAATGCTATGTTAGGCTCTTTTCTTTATATAATCGTAGTAAAAACTGTCAAAATGCTATTTTTTGTGAGAAGTCAGGCCATTTAGATATAACATATAATCTAAAAAACGCACTTCAGAAAAACAATGTTAAAAGAAATCCATTCGTCTGATTTATCATGATAATACCTAGGTTTTATGTGGGAAACGCTTGATCACACAGCAAATACATAAGCATTTTGACATTTTTCTAAGAATTTTCATGAAGAAAGGAGCGTAACATAGCGTTGCCATAACAACGCTATATTTATCCAAAAATTGGCACTTTATTAAATGCCAAAGGTTTTCTTCTAATTAAAATTCACTAAATTACATTCTTAGAGGACACGACTTGAGCAACCTCGGCTAATACTATATATAATATTATAGAAAAATGTTATACGGGAATTATAAAAAGGTCTGCAACTCAATTCAACTTTAATTTATAAGTGCGTTTAATATAAAACAAAATACGCCTGATAACTCGTAACTATTATACCATATAGGCAATATAATTTTAATCTATAGTGTTTGATATTTATAAACAAAAAAGTACAAGATGTGTGATTAGACTAAAAACTATCATACCTTCTATGTCTATGAAGTATATTAAAGACTATTAGAGCTATTGCTACTATTATTCCTAGACCAGAAACGGTGCACATACAAATAAATAAGGGAAGTGAAACTGTGCGCAAAACGTGACGAACTATTGTTCTATCTTGAGGTACTTTTCCACCTGTAAAAATAAAAAATATGAAATTAGCAATACATATGTAACATGTTTTTACCAGCAAAATAAACAAAAATAAAAACTTGAAAGGCTTTGTATGAACTTTGTGATAAGTTACAAATAGAATGAAATTATTAAAAAAAGAGTGCGCGTAAGGTTCACACGCGATTGAAGTATAACTCTTTTGCTTTCGTACGAGATTGCATTTAGGTTAAAAACTAGCTGTAAGTGGAATTCTGTCTTAAGGCAATTAGGGCATCGTGCCTTAAGGCAAATTGCTGGAACTTCCCGTACCAAAATTATTATTTTTTTAAAAACGATCAACATTTTTGAAAAAAAATTACTTTGAAAAAATAAGATTTTTGAGAAACTATAAATTGGACAAAAAATTACTTTTTTTGAAAAAAAATTTTTTTTTTAAAAAATAATTTTTTTTTTTAATTTTTTTTTTTTTGAAAAAATTTTTTTTTTCTTTATTTTGACATATTGTGGAAGATCTGAACTTTCTTTTCAAAGCAATCGTACTGCTTTAACTGCATAGAGACAAAGCGACGTAAGTCCCGCGTCGCTGTTTAACGCATAAGCATTGGTACGGAACCCATAGGAATGTTAACAAAATGTATACTTATTGTTAAAATCTCTATAAAATATCTGATAATTTGATGTGCATATGTCTAATGATCATTTTTGACCGCCAAATGGCTCATTTTTTTACTTTTTCCTCCATATCTCCGAAACCGCTAGACCTACCTTCATGAAAATTTTATCGATTCTTCATCTTGTCAATACAAGTGAAATGTTTTTTGAATTATTCAAATCGGACGCTCCGTTCTCTTAAAAACTAAGTTACCGTTTTCGGCACTTTTTGCCCCGTATCTTCGGAACGGCTAGACCTGCCTCCGCCAAAAACTAATCAGCACGTCTCCTTATCAATACGAATCGAATGTTTTTTGAATTATTCAAATCGGTTGATCCGTGTTCCCGAAATCGTCGACGAAAATTTGTATCCGCACATACATACACACACATACATACATACATACATACATACACACACACACACACACACACACACACATACATCCATTTTTTCTAAGGTATGCCAAAATGTTAAGAAACCTCTGAAACGTAAAGATATATAAAAATTTTCATTTTCGATTTTTTTGCGATTACTATAACTTACCCTACGGGAAGTTAATAAATACATATTATAACAATTTTGAATAATGTTCATCAGTAATATGGTAACACTCGAAATGCACACATTTTTTAATGTCAACCATTAAACACATTTAATTAAATTTAAATAGCATTAAAAATATGTATAATATTTGAAAACAATAATGCAATTAAAGTCATACTTCAAATACGACATGATCGGTTTGTCATTTAGCTTGATCAATTAGCATCTAGGCTAGGACTTGACCCTTTATTAGAGAAATAAAGTAAATGCTGATTAATAAATTCTATAATATTCGTTCACACAGTGGACAGCTGTAATTTAACAATCTTGAGTAGATGTCCATTATAAAGTATATCTGTATTTAAATGATACACAGCTACACAAACTATTGTTGTGCTTGATTTCTTGTTCAAAGTAATAAATCTGAATTTATTCTTCATTATTTATAAAAATATGCATTAATACTTAATAGCCATCATAAGCAAAAAATATGTAGACTTCCTCTAAACTTCCAAAAGTGTCTGAGATATAATTCTGAAAAAGATATATCTTCGGCATGTTTGAATAAAGGTGTACTACTTTAATAATTTTCAATATCTATAACAATGCAGAGAAGTATTATATTAAATAACGCTTTAATAAATATTGTTTTCACAATTTCACTTATCATGTAATTGTGTTTGAAGAACCTCATGTAATTAATATTAACATACAATCATTGATTGCTTTTCTTTAGTTTTTTGTTGGAGATACAGGTTCATTCTTTGAACAGTTGTAGTATCTGTCTTGCATATAAAAATAATTTCCATTTTAATAACCTCAAAAATATATAGTAACCACGATCAATACAAATTACTTCAATAAACTTACGTTTCTTACACGGCACAGATTTTTCATTTGCTTTATTATTTGCACTATAATTATTTACGGGGGACTGGATAAAATATTCTTCCGATCCAGACATTTTTTATTAAATCAACATTTGTACTAATATTTAACCTTAAAATGTAAGGACATGAAACTATTAATATTATTACTTGGATTTTTTCAAATTATTCTTAGTTAATATAAAAAAACTGAAAAAATTATTGTAATCGTGGTAAATAAAAGGCATTTATGAGAATATAAACAATATGATTTTTTTACATATATCTCAACTGAAAATAGGGTAGCTCAAAATATGTCAATGTATTTAAATATTATTAAATTGCAAAACTCGAATTTTGCTCTTGTTTTCATTTTGTTTAATTCTACAGTAAAAATTATATGGACTAATAAAAAATATAGTCACTTAAAATCGAATATATCGATCACAACAACTATCATTCTACAAAAACCAAATTTTATAGAAAACATGTCAACAGACATGTCAAAAGCGATATTTTAAATATGAAAAACAACTGATCAGTAAGAAATTATAATTATGATTCAGAACTAAAAATGATACAATATACTATTTTTATCATCATTCCACCATATTTAATATTGCACATGAAACTCCAAGCAAATACTTATTTGAATAATATAATCTAAGAATCATAATTTTCGAATTTTCTTGATGATGTACTTTCTATATATTACATCTCATTGCAAAACAAAACATCGGGATTTTAAATATACAAAAACCTAAATTTGTTTTAGTCACAAAATAGGATATAATTATTGAAACATTTTCAAAAAGTTAAATTAAAAAACAATGCATATGCATCGTCAAATTCTACACCTATTATTAGAATTCAATTTTAAAATGTAAAATTCTAAAAGTTCGCCCAACATTACTTTAAACAAACTAAAGAGAATGAACAAAAAACTATGAGAATATTGTTTACTAACGAGACGTCAATTACTACTAATAAGTATAGTAATTAATAAAAATAGGCAAATAAGCAACTTGTAAGGCATAATAAGATTTATGACTAAATATAATTATGATACATACTAGTGGATATAGTAAGTATTAAATTGTATATGATTAATAATTATTTTACCTGCCCATTCTTCTCTGTGAAGCCAAGTCAAGTTATCAGCCTGAGTGTCATAATATCCCAGAATGTTGTAGCTACCATTAATCATTTGCTCAATTTGCGTTAAAGCTATACGATCACCTTGTGAACTGAATGCCACGTAACCCTGTGTAATTAGATTAGATTTTTTTTAGAAAATGATTGAATAAATTCAAAAAAATTTTTTTAAATACAACTAATTCTTCAATAGGGTAGAGCGGGGTTTATAGGTCCGATAGTAGAGAAGTCCACCACTGAAATATCGAAAACAAGTAAAGATAGAATTTTCTCAACAACAATATTTGAAAGTAGAGGGATAAAGATGTGCAATCAACCATTGCCTTAAATCAAGCGACGTCGCTACGAAGAGATAAACGACCATGTTAAAAATCTATAACAAAAGTATGTTAGTTATTGTTAGTTTTTTTTTTGGTTGTGGCGATTGTTGTTTAGTTTACTAGACCTTAATTTAAATTTTAAGTATAGGTTAGATATTTTTTTTATAAGAGGTATTGTTAATTTTAAGATCCATCAGAGGTTTTTATATAAAATGGGAATTTTACTGAACATTGTACCATAGTTGGTTGTTTTATATTTGTTATGTTAAGGTCATAGATAAATAAGTATAAAGTATGGTTAAGGTCCACTTAAAGTTTTGGACAACCTAATTAAAGCAATAAGAGATTCGGCTAATAGAAATAATTTGGCTGTGTTTAAAACTTATTGAGGCTTGGTTGGAATTTTTCTCCACATCCACCAAATATTCCTGACCATGAACCATCTGATTAAGACCCTTGAATTTAAAAAAAATCAGGATGGTGTCAAATTGTGCCTTATAAAAACTAGAAGTTTTATAAAATTGAGATAATGATGCTTCTTGGAAGATAACAAAAGGTCATCGATCAAAATGATAAATACATTAGAGCATAATGTTGGACCCAAAAAAGGTTGGCAATCACTGATTTAGACTGTATAATTATTTAAATTTAAATTAAATTTTTGTGTCTGGCCCTACCCTACTTCAAAAAATGTCAAAAATCTAACAATAGTGTCCCATAATTTTTATTCTGACAATAATGAACTTTCTGTTACAAATAATTTTCATAAACAATTAAAATTAGAAGTCAAGTTGAATCGGAGTTAAATGTTTAAATATTGATATTGTTATTTCTAAATAGTTACTATTGTAGAAATGCAGATAATATTGGTCATTTAATATTGATGGTTTGTTCTACCAAATATTACAAAACTATACTTAATAAGTTCAAGTATTACATTAATTATATACATAGCCCGATTCTGCCGCAAAATATATGTTATGGCAAGGCTATATTACATTGCTTTTTATTCAAAAATTATACTAAACTAGTGGGGTGGGTGGCATCGTGCCTTAAGGCAAATTGCTGGAACTTCCCGTACCGTAACGAAACGTTCGAGGAATATTGAATGTTTTCAAATAGATTATTATAAATATTGTATTATTGTCTAATATTTATAATAATTATATAAACTGAATTGCAGAGTTGAAATTATTTGTTTAAAGTATATTAGAACTATAGTCAGAATTAAAAATAAAATCTGAATTATTTTCGATATACAAAAAATTTAAAAAAAAAAAAAAAAAAAAAAAAAAAAATGGTACAATTTTTTTTTTTCAAAATCAATTATTTTGTTAAGACAAGCAGAAAGTTCTTTGAATCAATTGAATCGGACGCTTAGTTCTCTCAAAAACTGCCATTTTTTGTACATTTAGCTCTGTATCTCCGAAATGGCTGGGCCTGCCTTTGCGCAAAACTAATAACCCTTTCTCCCAATCATTACTAATGGAATGTTTTTTAGATCATTCAAATCGGATGCTCCGTTCTCTCAAAAACTCGATTTCTATTATCTGCACTCTTTGCTCCTTATCTCCGTAACTGCTGGACCTGTCTTTGCCAAAAACTAATCAGCTCTTCTCCTTATTAATAGGAATCGAATGTTTTTTAAACCATTCAAATCGGTTGATCCGTACGCCCGAAAACGTGGACGAAAATTTGTATCCATACATACATACACACACACACACACACACACACACATCCATTTTTTCTGAGGTATGCCAAAACGTTCAGAAACCTTCAAAACGTCGAGAAATGTAAAAATTTTCAATTCCGATTTTCGGCCCATTACAATAACTTACCCTACGGGAAGTTAAAACTAACAAAATTCTATTTATTTACTATGCGATCCGACATTTTACGCATAAAATCTAACTTTTCGCATGTCTTATAAATGTTCGAATTTTCAGCTCTTTTTTTCAGAAGCGAAATTCGTGCAGCTACTATGATTATTATAAAATTACTATCCTTTTAATATTAATTATGACAAAGCTTGACAAGAGCTGGAAATAATATCTATTATTATTGATTACGGCTAGCTTATGAATAAATAAATAAATAAATATAAAGATGCACTTATGATAAAATAAATTACCAGAGTCATTATAGAGCTTTGATTCTAGAGAATGATTAAATATGTAATAATGAATAACTGTTGAAAAATTATATTAACTTGATTTGATAAGCTACAGCAACAATCCAATTTCATTTCGTATAAATATAAACATTAGATTTCCAGATATATTTGTTGAAAAAAACTGTAACTACCAACCATAAGCGTTCCTAAATATGGACAAAATGACACAATGACTTTATTTAAAAATTTACCATTTTTATTAAAATTTCTACGACTTTATATTATGAAGAAAGCCATAATAAGAATCCTGTCAGATGTTGAACGTGATTGTCACAGCCTTGTCACAGTAATCAGTTCAATCGTGTTTCGGGTCTTGAAAGGTTTATTTGGAAGGTGTTTTTCTCAAGTTTTTTGTTTTGAGACCTATTTATTGATATTCGGCATTCTTAACTTCCCGTAGGGTAAGTTATTGTAAGCGTCCAAAAATCTAAATGGATTTTTTTTATATTTGTTCGCGTTTTGAAGGTTTCTGAATATTTTATATAATAAATATAAAAAAATGGATGTGTGTGTATATATGTGTGTGTGTATGTATGTATGAACATAACTTTTTGTCCACATTTTTGGGTGCACGGATCAACCGATTTAAATGGTTCAAAAAACATTCGATTCCTAATGATAGGGAAATGTGCTGATTAGTTTTTGGCAAAAGCAAGTCCAGCCGTTTCGGAAATACGGTGCAACGAGTGCAGAAAATATAAATCGAGTTTTTGAGAGAACGGAGTATCCGATTTGAATGATCTAAAAACATTCAATTCGTAATGACGGGGAGAAGTGGTGATTAGATTTTAAGAAAGACAGGTCTAGCGGTTTTGGACATACCGAGTTCAATGTGCAAAAAAGAGCAGTTTTTGAGAGAACTAAGCATCGGATTTGAATGATTCAAAAAACTTTCTGCTTGTTTTGACAAAATAATTGCTTTTGGAGAAAAATTATTTAAATTTTTTTTTTTTAAAAAAACTTTTTTTGTATTTCAAAAATAATTCAGAATTTAATTTTAATTCTAGTTAAAGTTCTAAAGCTCACGTATATACTTCAAATTAATAATTTTAATTTTGTAATTCAGATTATATAATTCTTATAAATATTAGACATGTTAAAGTATTCATAATAATCTATATGAAACTATTTAATATTTCTCGTATATTTCGTTACCGTACAGGAAGTTCCAGCAATTTGCCTTGAGGCACAATGCCATACACAACTAGTTTCAAGTAAAATCAATTAGCTTTGCCGGTACTAGTAATTGCGATTTGATTGCAATAGTCAGGTATTCGAAGAAATTCTGACTAATTATTCATTTTTGTTCAATTTCTGATAAAATGACATATGACTATTTCCAAAGCATTACAGGGCCAAAAGAAAATTAAAACCTATCAAAGGCGATTGGCCTATAAGTTCTACTCCGGTATACAAGAAATAATTGATAAAAACTGTTAAAGAGCAAAATACTATCATTTTATCCGTACTTCCCCTATTTTTTAAAAACTTTTCAGTTACATTTTATGGAATTGTTAAATACAACGAGTATATCCATTATAATGTACAAAGAGGCGTGAAGTTTATTAAAAATTCACATGAAAATGTCGTAATAAAGGATTTTTTAATCATCAAACAATGTAAATATAAAATATATACGTATCAAACGATTAAACTATATATATAACGTTAATGACTTGAACAATTTTATCCGTTTACATCGTAACTCTATCCTCATTAGAGTTACCGGCACACAAACAACCGTGGCGTACATAACGCTCTGCAATTAAAACGTAGGCTAAATACCTGTCGTGTTTGCACCGGAAAATTAATTAGATTGAACGATGTCTAAAATTCATGATAAAAATACCAATGATATAATGAAACGAAGGACATAATAAATATATAATCATGAAGAGTTATGAAGATGTTAAGAAATTACAGTTGCCGTGGAGCGGAACGACGAGATGAATTATTATTAACTTGTTGTAGGGTAAGTTATAATAATACCAAAATATACATGTAAAATATTACATATAGTAATACAATAAATCGAAAATTAAAATATTTTCAACTTCCCGTGGGGCAAGTTACAGTAATCGCAAAAAATCAAAAATAATTTTTTTTATATATCTTTACGTTTCAGAGGTTTCTGAATATTTTGGCATACCTTAGAAAAAAATGGACGTATGTGTGTGTATGTGTGTGTGCGTGTATATACGTGTGTGCGAATACAAATTTTCGTCGACGATTTCGGGAACACGGATCAACCGATTTGAATAATTCAAAAAACATTCTATTCGTATTGATAAAAAGACGTGCTGATTTGTTTTTGGCAAAGGCAGGTCTAGCCGTTTCAAAGATACGGGGCAAAAAGTGCCGAAAACGGTAACTCAGTTTTTAAGAGAACGGAGCGTCTGATTTAAATAATTCAAAAAACATATCACTTGTATTGACAAGATGAAGAATTGATCAAATTTTCATGAAGGCAGGTCTAGCTGTTTCGGAGATCTAATAAAAAAAGGTAAAAAAAAATGCCATTCGGCGGTTAAAAATGATTATTAGACATATGCACATCAAATTATCAGATATTTTATAGAAATTTTAACAATGAGTATGTTTTTTTTTACATTT